TAGGATTGGTATGAGTCACCACTGACTTGATGGCAGTGAGAGAAATATGTAGCAGAAGCCATGAGGCTGAGTGGGACCACCTTTAGGAAGTGTGTAGAGTGATCTAGATAGAGCCTAGGAAGAACCTTGGTGAGATCATTGAAGAGTCAACTAAGGACGGAGGGACTGGAGATATGGGCAAAGACACAACCAGAGAGAAATGAAAGCTATAAAGAGGCTACAGAGTCCCTGAGGCCGGGGGCTTAAGTGGAGAGCAAATGTTTTGAGAATGATGAGGGCAATGAATGCACAAAGGTGCTGTACACAATTGATGTATGTATGGGTTGTGATCAGAGTTGTATGAGCCCCTAATAAAACTACTAAAATAAATAAATAAAATAAAAAATAATTTTAAAAAAAGAGGCTACAGAGCCAGAGCAGAGCAATTATTCTGAGAAGAAAGACTAGCTCACAAAAGCAAATGCCATTCAATGGTTAAGCCAATTAAGAGTTGGAAACCAGTACTTTTGAATCTGGAATTAGGTTGACTATCAGCCTAAACGTTCAATGTTATTGGGAGTTGTTTTTAAAATCCTTTCATTTGTATGTATTTTTTGTGGAAAATCAAGGAATGCTGGAGTAGAAGCGCTTCTCCATTTGACTTTGAAAAGACAAGTCTGCACTACTGCTGGATTTTTGTTTTGTTTTGCTTTGTTTAGCTTTTAGTATTTTTGCAATTCTTTTATGGTCAAAGAGCATTTCATTGCAAATAGTAGTATCCAATTCAAATTAGGGTAAGCCAAAAGTGGAATGTTTTTAAAATAATACAAGTGCAATTCATAGAACCCAAAGTCAGGCAGTCTAATGAGGCCTCCTGGGAGACTGGAATGAGAACCTGGAAAGCTGTCAGGGACCAAGATAGCTACTTTCTCTGTGTGTCGATCCCTCGGCAGACCTTGTGGTCTTTTGTCTAAGCTTTGTGTTCTTAATTCATTCCTCTCTGCAGTCACGTCTCTGTTTCTCCATGTTCAGAAAAGAAAATGGCTCCCAAGACATTCCTACATCCCTCCTCTTTCGGTACCATCTGAGCCTGTATAGGATGCCTATTTCCCTATTCTATTTGCCTAGGAAACGAATGAGCCAATTTTGGAGCGGGTGTCCATCTTTGACCGATTAATTGTGAGCAGGGCAAATTACGTGTCTGTTCTCCAGTCTGACAACGGAGAGATTAAGAGCAGACTCGGAGACAGCCCTGAGTGGGTAAATTACCTAAACCGGCTCTTTGTCTTCCCACCCTCACACCTGGTTCCTTTCTCTGGTGAACGTATCATCTTCACATTTCTTTCATCCTGTTGTAGCTTCATTTCAGAATGTTCTCTGCTCATGATCTCGGCTCTTATCTTTCAAAGCTCAGATCTGCTTGTATCTTATTAAATATTCTTCTGGTTCCCATAAAAATATCACGTTTGTAGATAATGATCTTCAGTTCTCCAGCCTAAGAAATGTGCTCCTTTTTCCTTCCATAATTTTCCATAGACCCCGAGGATTTTCGCTTTACATACAAGGGGGCTGAAAGAACCTCACAGAAAAAAAAATCTAGAATCTTTGTTTTTCTATGAATGTTTAAAGCCTCCTC